GCCTCATTCTGGTTCTCCGGGAGACGTGCTGGAACCAGTGTGTGTGTGGGTGTGTGTGGGTGGGATCCTGTATCAGGTTCCACCCACCAGCTGCCGTAACAAATTCCTAAACAGAAACCGAGCCAGCTGTCCGCAACCAAGGCGTCAGCAGGCCTACGCTCCCTCTGAAGGCCGTGGGGGAGAACCTTTCCTTGCCCCTCCCACTTGCAGGTGCCTGCAGGAATTCCTTGGCTTGTGGCTGCGTAAGGAGCCCACGTGGTGCAGTGGTTAAATGCTGGGCTGCTAACGGCTAGGTTGACAGTTTGAACCACTAGACGCTCTGCGGGAGAAAGATGCCCCAGTCGGCTTCCATAAAGATTACAGCCTGGGAAACTCAATGGGAGTGTTCCATTCTGTCCTCTAGGGGCGCTGTGAGTCAGAATCCATTCTACAGCAGTGGGTTTGGTTTGGGCTTTGCTTCTATAAAGATTTGATAGCCTTGGAAACCCTGTGGGGCAGTTCCACTCTGTCCTCTAGGGGCGCTGTGAATCGGAATAGACTCCAGGCAGTGGGTGTGGTTTGGGCTTTGCTTCTGTAAAGACTGACAGCCTTGGAGACCCTGGGGTGCAGTTCCACTCTGTCCTCTAGGGGCGCTGTGAGTCTAAATGGACTCCACGGCAGTGAGTGTTGTTTGGGCTTTGCTTCTCTGAAGACTGACAGCCTTGGAGACCCTGGGGTGCAGTTCCACTCTGTCCTCTAGGGGCGCTGTGAGTCAAAATCAACTGGATGGCAATGGGTTTGGCTCTTTGAAGGGTTTTATGGCTGCATCTCTCCAATCTATGCCCCTGTCTTCACACACACAAAAAACCCAAACCTGTTGCTGTCAATGTGATTCCGACTCATCGCGACCCTGTAGGACAGAATAGAACTGTTCCATAGGATTTCTTTCCTTTTTTTTTTTTTTCCCTGCTTTACAGTTTTTGTTTCTAATGCATGATATCATTTGCATAATTATTGAAACTAAATAATTTTTAAAAGAACTTTTTATTGTGATTCGAGCCAATTGCTCTTCCCTTCAGCAGCTCATGCACCTTCTGTTTTGTGACATTGACTGCATTCTCACTTCCTCCCTGGGTTTCCCATTTCCCTTTGTCCTTCCCTGTCCCTTCCTGCCTCCCGAGCTTTGCCCCCGGGTAAATGCTGCCCTTTGGATCTCCTGTGGTTGACTGTTCTCAGGAGTGTGTACTTCCCTGATGTTCACCTCAGGGGCCTGCCTCTCTGTTGTTTGGATGAAACTTGAACCACAGGGGTGAGTTCAGTTCCAGGCCTCAAAGGTGACTCCCACAGGGCTTTCAAGGCTGTGAACTTTAGCAGACTGCCACCTCTTTCTCCTGCAGAGCAGCTCGTGGCTTGGAACCTATGACCTTTCAATGAGCAGTCGAGTGCTTGAGAACCACGCTACCAGGGCTGGGGGTGAAACCAAGGTACCGAGTCCCTTCTGGCGGCTAGCACTCAACACGGCAGCCTCGCGTCCCTTGGCCGCCGGCCCCTTCCTCCATCTTCAGAGCCATTAGTACAGCACCCTGCTCCAGTCCTGACATTGCCTTCTCCCCGGTCAGATCCGCCTCTTTTATCAGGATGCTTGGATGGCATGTGAGGCCCATCTCCAGGTGGGATCATCTCTTCATCCCAAGAGCCTTAATTCCATCACAGTTGCAAAGACTCATTGGCCGTCAGGTGACATATGGACAGGTTCCAGAATTAGGATGTGCATGTCATTGGGAGCCATTACTCAGCCAACCACCATGAAGGATAGCGATTTTCATCGCAAAGCAAGTGTATTGGCCCATGCTGTTGGGCAAATCTACAATCTGTCGTCCACATCTTTCCTCCACCATGAATATTTTTGTATGACGGGCAGCGGGGTTCTGCAGGAGACTTCTCACCTTCCAGGTGGGAGAGCCGGTCCCACAGAGCTGCCACTCTAAGAGAGATCAGGAAGACAGGCCTGGCAATCTACTTCCAAAAAATCAGCCAGTGAACGCCTTAAGCGTCACAACAATCCAGTCTGCAAGTGACCGTGGCAACGGTGCAGAGTCAGTAACATTTTGTTCCTTGGGGGGAGGGGGGGTCACCATGGGTCAGGGGCCACCTCCACACATGGCCACTAACAACAACAGAGGATTTTTCTTTCTTTCTTTTAAACTGTGGTTTGGGGAAAAGTTTACAGAGGAAATTTGGTTTCCGTTCAACAATCTGTACACGTTTTGTAACATGAGTTGCAATACTTTCAATGTAACAACAAACTATATTTCTAGAGCAACTTCAGTTTTTCTCTTTCTCTTTCTTTTTCTTTTTCTTGTGATTTGAATGAAAGTTTACAGAGCAAATTCATTTTCTATACACCAGTTCATACCCATTTTGTTTCATGACATTGACTGCAACTCCCCACAATGCAACAGCTCTCTCCCCACTTCCTCCCGTAGGTACCTCTCCCCTCCTTCTTTGTTGTACATTCCGGCCTCCTCAGCTATCTCCCTGTGCAAATACTGCCCTTCTGTTCTCCAGTGATTGATTGTTCTAAGAAGTGCATCTACCTGATGTAAATCTCCACCCCATGTTGTTGTTGTTGTTGTTATGTGCCGTCGAGTCGGCCCCGACTCATAGCAACCCCTCCTTGGGTTTCCGAGGCAGTATCACTACGGAAGTAGGATTGCCCAACCTTCCTTCCGAGGAGTGGCTGGTGGGTTTGAACCGCCAGCCTTCTGGTTAGCAGTCAAGTGCTTTAGCCACTATGCTACCAGAGCTCCTCTCCACCCTATAGGCCTGTCTATTGTTTGGCTGGAAGCCACAGGAGTGAGTTCAATTCCAGACCTGAAGGGTCACCTGGGGAAATAGTCTCCAGGGTCTCACCAGACTTTATCAGACCAGTAAACCTGGTCTTTTCTCTGGAGCAGCTTCAGTTTTTCAAAACTGGAAGCCAATGGTGCTGAAACAATGTAGGTCGAGGTGGTGACAATGTGGCCGCAATGTGAAGAATGGAAACAATGTTACTGAATTGCACTGTCTACAGTGTGAATGGGTGTGTGTTCTGCTGTGCATGTTTTCTGCAACATTTGAAAGAAAAAATTAATTCTCTTTTCATTACAAATAATCCATGCTTATTGCAAACATTTGAACGATCCAGAAATAACCACCTCCTCACACACAAAAAGTAAACATTGAAAGTCTCTCACCCGCCACCCTATTGGAACTCTTACGAGAAGTTTGGAGTGAATGCACCCAGACTTTGACGAGTGTAACGTTTGTGTGTTGGGATGGGCATATAGGTGTAGCTGTTGGAAAACAAGCTTCGGTTTCATTGAACGAAGCCAGGTAGACGGTGTTGTTGTGTGACAATGAGTCCATTTTTACTTACAGCAACCCTGTAGGATGGAGGAGGACAGCCCCATAGGGCTTCGTAGGCTGTAATATCTACAGGAGCAGATCACTGGTCTTTACTCCCACAGCTCGTTTGAACTGTCAACCTTTTGGTTAGCAGCTGACTGTTTAACCATTGCACCGTCAGGGCTCCCTAGGTGCAGCCTACACACTCAGAAAGGATTTTGAAGTGGGTTTGCAGAGACCAGCCACTCTGCAGGAGAAAGTTGAGGCAGTCTGCTTCCCTAAAGAGTATAGCCTTGGTGAATGATCAGGTATGTCTATGCGGGGGGGAGGGGGGAGTGCCCATGACCATGTGTAGGGCTGACAAACAATGTTTCTACAAGTGTATTGGTATGTTCTGTAAGAATTCCCAGGTGTATAGTAGAGCTGACAAGGGACAAGGTTGTAGTCACTTCTTGGTCACAGCCAGTTACCCAGAGGGAATGAGTAGTTGAACCTGTGCGCTCGGGGCCATAGTCGCAAGGGACATCAAGTTCAACTGGCATAACATACTACACAAAACATTGTTCCACATCCTGCTTTGGCAAGTAGTGACTGGGATCTTAAAAGCTTGCAAGCGGCCATCTAGGAGCAATGATGGGTCTCTCTTCATCCAGAGCAAAAATGAATGAAGAAAACCAAAGATGCATGGAAACAATTAGGCCAAGGGACTGATACACCTCATGATCCTCAGACTATCTGATTACGAGATCAGAAGCACTAGATGGTGCCTGGTTACCAC